CAGCTAGCATGTGTTAAACTAGCCTCTTTTACCGTTACACATTTTCACAATTTGACCGTCAGCATAGTAAAACAACTAAATAGCCTGTTAGCCTGTTAGCTAATTCTGTTTTTTTTAACTTCCTGGTGCACATATTCCACCGCAAAAGTTAAAATTTTTCAATATTTTCAAGCAAATTCCAAAATGTGAAGAGTTTCGCAAACAACTCTGAGCTTCTAATACAAAAATATGGCGTTCCGGTTGATTTGTATATGAACACAGAGCGAAGTGGAAATGTTTTTGTGAACACTGGAGCAGAGAGGAGAAACAGGAGCTCATGGTTTCCCAAAACTCATCAGGTCAGGTGCACCTGGAGCTCATTGTTTTCTTCATCATTCACTCAGGGTCGAACTGTAAAAACAGAATTCTGCTTTTCACATCCTCAGACATCTGAGGGGGAACGTCTGGCGCTAACAGGCTGATAATGCAGGTTTTTCTGGCCACAACAACACGGTTGTCGCTTTCCATCCGACCGACTCGCTAGGTTTGGTTCCCTGTAGCTTCTTCGTCTTTCCCAAAATAAAACTGAAGTTGACAAGTTGATGTTTTGACGCCGTTAAACAGGTTCACTGCAGATTGTGCTCGACATGTTTCCATAGCAGGACGTCTGGGGAGCGTCACGAGTGTTGCAGGAGCGCTGGGAGCCGAGCAAACTGCTGCACAAAGAGCCACGTTTTAGTCCATTTCTTCACTTTTATTGGCACTGTCTGAACTTTTCCTGAGTCTGGACTTCACTGGTTGGTGGAGACGTTTTGGTTTTGGTTTTTTATAAAAAAAACTCTGTATATATACAGAGTTACATGTTTATATGGCATCATGATGTTTATGTGTGAACATATAATGCCATAAGTCAGTTTTTACCAGAAACACTGGCTTTGTAGGGCAGCATTGTTGGTTCTGCTGAGACCCAGATGGGGACCAGTATGTTTGGTGTAAACCCGCTCAGAAGTGAATGCATGATCCTGACAGTGAAGCACGGAGATTGGAGTGCCTTAGGAGGCTGATTAGTGTATGAATATACTGGCAACGGTGGGGATATATGCAGTGTTACAGCAGCAAAGATGGTGCAAACATTCAAGGAATGTATAGAAAATAAAGTACTACCTGTAAAATATAACGACTGTAACAATGATTCAGTGGTGTGGCACAGGATGTTTGATGAATAGACGTACTGGTAGAGTTTCATTATTGCACAAATTGTACACAAGTAGATAACTAACAAAATGGTATATATTCTAATGTGCACAGTCGTGACTCGATGATCCGACACTAAATGTAAAACCTTCTTTATGTCGGATATCAAGGCTGTCGGATTGTCAAGACGGAGGTCCAGATACAAGGAGGGCTTGAAGCTGGAAGGCTCATTAGTTGTTAATATTTATTGTTTATAGTTGTTATAATAACTTGTGTATTGTTCATTGGATTTCACGTCTAACTGACCGGTGGCTTGTGCACGGCCCGTCGGTAAATATGTTCAGACGGCAGCAGAAGTGACTCAAATCCGATTGTTTTGCCCCTATGTGACCTGGATCTGGTGTTTTCATGACAGTCTGAACAACACAAATCCAATTAATGATGAATATCAAAATATTCAGCGCAGTTAGTAGGGTCACTTCCACTCCGACGGGGTGGAAGTGGTCGGAGCGCACAAGCAGTACTTGGCTGCTGATGCTAGTTTAGTTAGCGCTCACACTTCTGTTTCCACCATCGGTGGCGGTGGGGGAGTGGCAGATACGCTCCACCGTTACCATCCATGTTTACTTCTGAGTCAGAATCCAAGGCTGTCGGTATGTTAAGGCTGTTTTTATGGGTTCTGTTCGTTTTTCCCAAAAACCTTTCGGATAGCAAGGTTTAGGATTGTTAAGGGTCGGATTATCGAGTGACAACTGTATAACCAAATAAGTATTGCAGCAGAATATTCACCATTTACAGAATGTGTGGTTATGGTACCAAGGAGAAGGATGGGAGTTGGTCATTGTGTGGTCTAATGGGAGCAGGAAGCCACAGCAGTGAATTCTGGTTTAACTGTGTCAGGTTCTTGTTACGCAAAACGTATGAAGGTTTTGACCAGACTGCACAGTGAATGCCTGGTCCTGACTGCGCCCAAGGAGCCTGGATAAACTGGCTCAGTTATAAATCACAATAAACACACACACAGCCAGAGCAGTCACATCTTGTTTTATTGTGCAAAACCCTCACGACAGATTCCCTAAAACAGTCAGCGCTTCACCTGACTGCATCTGCTCGCGTCGTTTAGTCCAACAAATTGCACCGAGGAATGAGTTGAACCGCTTTCAAAGCCACTAAAAAAAAAAAAAAAAGCCAAATTTAGCCCGAGAAACAAACTCGCACGTCTAATTTGCTTTGCAGCTTTTTCCGTCCTCTGCAGCCCTGTGAAAGCGCTCTCTGTGAGCGTCTGCGTCGAAACCAAACGCATAGTTTCCCATTGACTCCATCCGTGGCTTCGGCAGCAGCAGCCCATGCACAGAATCACTTACCTCTGCAAATACACATGCAGTAACCCTTAAAGGAGCTGCACGGGCTTCAGCCTGAAATGAAACCAGCGGAAACCGAACCCAGACGAATGAAGCGCCATAAAAGTCAGCGAAACACAAACATGAGCTGTTGAGTGCTCCTCTGGTTATCAGTGTTTTTCCTCTCCGGCCTCGTGCCCAGATCCAGTCGTTGACCTTCGTTTTGCAGCTCAGGAATTTCCCATGTCTCCTCTTCCACATTCTTATTCATGTAATTCGGAGCCTGTGTAATAACAGGAGGTTTCTGCTTCTTTTCCATTGCTTCATAAACTCTTTATGGGGGTGAGAACGCCTCCCGTTATGGACCTCTGCTGAGCGGCGAGGCGGTCAAATTATTTTAGACTAAGCACAAACTGTAGCGCGGTAGATGCAGCAGAACTGAAACAGAAACAAGTCGGCTGCTGTTTTTAGACGATCTGACATGTCGGTTGTTGACACACAAAGTTCAGACTGTTGAACAAAACGCAGCAACACTGACGACTTTATTAAACGTGATGTCAGTTAGTTTGGAGGCGACTCTGAATAAACGTTCAGTTCAATGAGGTCGGGTCAGTTTGTAGGCGCTCTGTTCCTCCTGCTGCTGAAAATAATGGATTAATCCTGAACTTTTCTCCTGATTAAAGAGGTTGTTGTAGAGTTTGGATGGATGAGAGCCGATCGACCAACTTACTGTGACTGAAAATAAACACCTCATACAAATACAGTCNTCTCAGTCTTGTTCTGTCCCGGATCAGTGAAAGGCCGCCGGTCCGTCATGTGGTTCTGCTGCTTCACTCTTATACATGATGTCTAGATTAAGTCACGTGGAAGTCAGAGGACGAGGAGCTGTCGTCTTGAATGTTTCTCCATTAATCCTAACGGGGCGTTTTTATGCTCCTCTCACATTTTTTAACTCACTGTGGGCTCATTTTTCACTGCAGTATGAAGTCCTGTTGCCTCAGTGGAAACAGCACAAGGCTGGAAGGACACAGAGCTCACTGTGCCATATGACGCAGCTGGATTTAATCAGAAATAAAAGATTAAACACAAGTATCCTCACTCTGAGTGAACACTCCCTGCAGCTCAACCGAAAAGTCCCCGAATTTTACAAACGTGACTGTTGGTAGCAGTTCATTTTTTAACGGCTTCACGGTTGTGACGACGAGCTGATAGTTTTTAGTTTTTTGTAGAATCGGTTGAATGCAAGAGGTTTATTTTTGACTTTTTTGTATTTTAAGCGTTGTGTAGGTGAGTTAGAAGTCAGATTTACAGAAGTCGTCCTTCACGTTTTCTCTTCCCCTTTCCACTATCGGCCAGTTGCTGTTTTCCACTTCGTTACAGGAAACAACAACAACAACGGCCTCCAAGCAGCTGCTTTGAATCGTGCATTGAGGACATGACCTGTTTACATAACTATAGAACAATAATCCATCTTAATCTGTGTGCAGATATTCCACCCAAACCTCACTTTGAGGGGACACCATGGCTGCATCCTGGGCTGAGCTGCATCCAAAGATGAATGTGATGATTTTAAAGAATTGCAAACGAGAAAAAGGTGTTTTTTTTTCCCCCCCTTTTCCGATAGCATTTACACATAGCAAAAACAGTGGTATTTCAGTGGACCTTTGGTTTACACGTAAACAAAGCTACAAGTCACCAGAAACGATCACATCTGAAACAGTAGAGATTTGGAAAAACGACATCATTACGTTTGCGTGTAGACAGGAGGAGGCAGAGTTTGTCATCACGGTATGCGACAAAAGCATCATCAGCGTCATATGTGTGCGGCCCATGTTTGCGGTTTGGCTACCTCCATATACTTGGACTGATGTGTTTCCCGGTTAATATTTTCAAGTATTTTACTTGTTTCGTACTCTGACACCACATTCAGGAGCAGCTCCACTTCTCTGTCGGTCCAAACAAACAACCCTCGCCCCGTTATCGTTGAAGTAATAGGACGTATGCTTCTCGTTACGCCGCCCCCTATAGGTCTGGCATGCTCATAGCAGCTCTTAACGACGTGTATATGGGGGTTTGTGTAAATGAAGATGTTTTTTGGAAAACCATCTGGTGTGAACAATGTTAGACCCGTTTCTGTCGATGTGTAAACGTGGCCTAAAACTGAGCTGCAGTGACTCGATTCAGGCTGAGCGCTACAGGACATTAAACCGAGTCTAAAAGGTCATCATTCTGAGTAGTCGTTTCACGTTTAAGCGCTTGTGTGTGTCAGAATTGGTTCACTGGAACCACTGTTTACGCGACTTGGGAGTCCGTTTAAGAGCATCTACGCTAACATTTTTCTCGATGCTCTGATGATGGTTTCCTTTTTTGTGCGAGATCTAAACGGTTCATGAGGACTGTGAAGCTTTGCCAGGAAGGGAAGGACTGTGTTAATAGTTTCAGTCTGCTGCTGAGACGGAGGAAGGAGGGGATTCAGATAAAACAGATAAATACGACGACAGAGAGGCGAAGTTTGGAGAAAGACGGTCTGGAGTGGCTCAGATCGTCTGCAACAAGTTGGTTTTAGTGACTTTTTTTGTTTAAAAGAAACTCAACCATTGGACAGTTGTTTAGCTGCAGCTTCGCTCGGAGGAGTTTTAAAGCTCTCTGCTGCGATGGGTGTGGAGGCAGCTGTGCTGGAAGTGAAGCCGTCTGAGATGGAAAATTAATTATGTCCGTATGAGGACATGGGAACGGGGTGAAGGAATGAGGGGAGCGGAGCCGGACAGGCAGGTAATAAGAGGACGGACCGGGCGAAGGGATCCCTCGGCCGATGCAGGAATTTCCTTTCACCACAACTGAAGCCTGTTTTTTTTTTTTTTTGACCCACAGAGCTGCAGACGTTCAGACGGACCGAGAAGACGACGACATGGCCTCCAGCACTCCTCCCCCCGGCGGCCTCACCGACCGGAGCGGCAGCTTCTTCAAGGTAAAGACGAAACAAAGATCATTTAAAAGGCATCAAGGTCTGTGAGGCTGAATGTGGGGGGTTTGGTCTGGGAAACGGTGACTCAGCACTTTGTTTCAAACAGAAAAAAACCCCACAAATGCTAAATTACAAGACCAAAACAAAACCCTGAAAGTGCAGAATCTCCCTTTCTGACATGTTTTATTATGTAAAAAGATGTTTGTTGCACCTTTAAAGATTTGACCTGGTTGTGGAGAAACCACATATGAAAAAAACAACGCATCTAAAAGTTTGAAAAATCCATTTTATTTCCTGTGAAGAATAAAAACATCATAATCGATGATCTGTTGTTTTAAAATGAAATGCGGTATTTCCTTTAAAAGCAGATATGATCTTCAAATGAAGGCCGAGAACCAAACAGAGACACTTTGTTTACGTCGGCTTATCGACCGATTTGCTCTGAAAGTGTTTAGAGTTCAGCACACATGGACTACATCTGACCAACTTTACTTTTCTAACATACTTTCTGCTTATTTGTGTGACTGCAGCTACACGTGGTTCAGAAATAATCTCTAGTTGACTTCTGGGACCTATGTCAACACAATCAGAGAATGTTTTATCTGTTTGTCCAAAATTGCAGATTCTGAATTAGTGACATGATGCGAAATAACAGAGGAAAGTCCAGGCTTTTCTCTTTAATGGTTTCTGAGATGTTGTTGTTCAAACAGCCTTAAGTTTATGTGAATTAAAGGTAAAGGCCGCTGACTTATCATCGCTGCCAACGTCTCTGTCAGCACATTTTTTCAGACCTCTAGATTAATTCTTACCATTGACTTGAGCAGGTTTACATGCAGGTGAACAATTATCACTTTTCTAACATGATTATTAACAAATCGCTGACTTTCTGAAGAGAATTAACGGATTTATGTGCTCAGGGACCTTTTTATTCTGCTGAGCCTTTACTCAAACTCTCACGTTGTTATTTGTGACGCAGTAGTTTTTCCTCTCAGGAAATGTAATCGAGCACAGATTGATGAAACGTTAGAGCGGATCCGTGCGTCCCGACAGTTTTCCTTCAATCGCTGCCACATCTCGAGCTGGACGCGACCGACGGCAGCTGCACCGGCTGGCGGCCCGACAAACCCGCCGGAGGACCAACGCGACTCCTTTCATCTTCTGTTTTGTTTCTCTAAAAGCTGTCGTCACAGATCAGGCACGTCGTCGTCGTCTCTCGCTGCAGCCTCTCGTTCAAAACAACACAAACCGACAGCTTTTCTTTTTCTTCCTTTTTTCTTCCCGCGGCGCCAGATGTGTCATTAAAACGCTCGATCTGTTTCTGGAGAATTAACAGATTCCAGTTCGTCTCTGCTTCTGCTTTCCTCTCAGACGTTCGTCATCTTTCATGTCCTGCCGGCCGAACAAAAACACTTTCCTGAGAGCGAGTCGACCCGCAGAGTTGGTCTGATTCTCCTGAACGCTGAATTCCTGCACGTTGCTAATTTTCAATCATCCAAACATGTTTTTTATCCAACCTCTTTTTCATCTTGACGTGTTAAAGCTCCTACAGATAAACAGAAACAGTCCGTTTGCTGATTAAACCTCTCGAGAAACCTCTCATATTCAAGACTTCACCTGCCAATAATTTACAAATATCCTTAAGAATCACGTTATTTCTGCATTTGCTGCCTTTGAGTGCACGCTGACAGAAGCCCAAAACATCTGTGTTTCTTCTAACAGTAAACCATCGACAGAAGAGGCAAACTATTACCAAAAGTGCTTTTAAAGCAGTTTAAACTGAGCTTAACCCCGTTTCTTGCACAGTCAAGTGTTAAATTGGTGCCTTAAATGAATTGCCAAACATTCATCTTCGCTTTATTTCCATATCGTGACTAAAAAATACGGTGATGCCTAAACTCACATGTTCACTGTACATACAAAACATTGTTTTTTTGCCCATAATTCAAGAATTTATGCACTAATGTCATCAAACGTTCACACAAATCACAAACAGGATAAAATGTTCTGCAAAAAAATGATATTTTTTCGCAGCTACAAATATGGATCTTTTGTTTAGTGACGTTCAAGGTGGATATTAAGTGAGAGTTGATTAAAAAGCTCTGAGACTGTTTGCACTTTTACCATCAGGACCTGTGTTTTCCATGTAGTTTTGCTTCGTTATCTGTAAATGCGTATAAAACCCACACTGTGTCAACAAACAACGCAAATGCATTTAATTTCGTTCAAGCTAATCGGAGGCTAATCTGTTTTTTACCATCCAGTTTTATAGAAAATGTGCAGGAAGCACAAAGCAGCACCAATAACACACGTATAGACATCAGTCGGAGGTTTTCCTGCCACATGTGGAGCTGGTTTGGTGAAATATTTAATTACAGGACCTCCACAGTACGAACCTCCACAGTATACGTGTTCTCTGTATGCTAGCCAGCTAGCATGTGTTAAACTAGCCTCTTTTACCGTTACACATTTTCACAATTTGACCGTCAGCATAGTAAAACAACTAAATAGCCTGTTAGCCTGTTAGCTAATTCTGTTTT